AAGCAAAATTCGTTATTTCTATTCGTCCCTCTTTCTCTCCCCTGACATCATCAATTTCTTTATAGAGTGTCGTTTGATTTGATCAAATAGTCACAATTTGAATCAAACGCCTCCATTGTATTATGAGAACGATTTTCTATCATACTCCGATCGTGACTTTGTTGGATAGGGAAGAAACATCTCTTAAAAGATAACGATTTTCGTGCCTTGGAATTCATTAATTTTTTCCAGATTTTCTTACATATTTCCCAACAGGTTTTTGAGTACAATAGATTACGTAATATCTCGTATTTTTATTTGAACTAGTTGGAATAATTTATGCACTGTTTCATTGCCGTGAAGTATTAATAGTTTGGCACTGGAGTGACCAATAATAATGATTATGAATATTTTAAGTCAACGGTCATCAACTGTTGGTAATGTTTGATAAGATTAGAAGCTTTGACTAGGGAAAACCATTGCAGTCTTTAGTTTGTACATTTGATTTAGAATTTGCACCAATAATCAGCTCTCTCTCTCTCTCTCTCTACTTTAAAAGTTTGATACGTTGCTAAATATATTTACTTTCAGGGCTTCCAAGAGGGGTGCGCTACACCCTAATTGTGGGGGCCGGTGTACCGGCAATATTGTGCGTTGTGGGGCTATTGTGTTGTATTTGTCATAGAGTGAAGCGCTTCGGTAGACAACGCCACACTATGGTGGAATTCACCTCCGTGGTGGTGCCACATACTACCATCACGTCGGGATTAGATATTACTATAATTGAATCATACCCAAAAATAGTTCTGGGTGAGAGTCGGCGTTTAGCTAAACTAGATGATAATATTTGCTCAATCTGTTTATCTGAGTACATGCCTAACGAGACCTTAAGAAGCATTCCTGAATGCCAACATTGCTTTCATGCAGAATGCATAGATGAATGGCTTCAAATGAAAGCTTCATGTCCGGTTTGCAGGAGTTCTCCGAATTCATCATAACCCTAATTTTCTTCTTCTATTTTACTTCTATGTAAATTGTAACTACAATTAAAAGATTGGACACTTCTAGTTGATCTCTCTATAAATCTAGCAACGAATCAAAAGGAGCGACGAAAAAATTCATGTAATCGACTTCTAATTTATTGAGAAAAGAATGTAACATGTTATGAGTTAGGCCCTTTAAGCAACGTGGCTTGCTACCAGTCTCACGGGAAGGGGAAAAAAAAAGAACATAAAGGAAAATGAAGATTATAAGGGATTGTGTGATGTTGCTAAACATTAGTAATTCACAATTTGTTTAATAAAAAATAAGGAATTTATATAAGGAATGGAAACATAATTTTTATAAATGAATGACGACGATCTTAAACCCAACTCTTTTGTCTAGCATATTACTACCATATTGACCGTCTCATTTAAAAATTTAAACATGATAGAGAGGGGTCACCATTTATTCAAACAAACACGCAAAAAACATTCTTCTTTGATTTTCGAATATTAGAAAAAACGGACGATGGTTAGTCTTCCACAACTGATTAAAATTCAATCTCAGATATCAGATCATCTTTCTTTGCATGAGGCTCAAGAACAAATTCAACTATTCAGTTTTCGTATGCCTAAGGGTGAAGGCTTTAATCCTTTCAAGGCCATCTTCTAGATATGAAAGCTCGACCGCAAAAGTTATCCTCAGCCAATTTTTCAATCCCACGGCAGCCCCTGTGCAGAAAAAAATTTACTTTATTTTGCTCGAAACTAACCCAAATAGATTTTTGAGATGTTGATGAAGGCATTTTTCTTACCTGGAAGCACGATCACCGATTCCTCCCTTGCAAGCTTAATGCAAAACTCAATGTCATCATTTATGTCTTTCAGTAATGGTAGATTCAATTTCACCTAAACCAAAATGAAGAAAATTGATGCTTCAGTCGATAAATTTTGAACCTCGTAAAAATTCCTGAGTTTCAATGCTCGATCTTACCATTAAGAACATGGAACCTTGTGGTCTGCTTGGGTAAGTGATGCAAGGGATCTCCTTTAGTATAGCATGACACGTGTCTGCAGCTTCTCTCAGCAAATTTAAAGTCTTTGAATGGAAACTTTTAGTTGTTCTCTTAAGAATTTGAGGAAGAGCACCCTGAAAAAACAATTTATGTTACATTTACACGTTTGTAAAGAATTAAAATATTCTGCACTCGATCTTCAAAAAACATAAAGATCACTCATAGAATGTTGGCTCTAATATATGGTGTTGAAGCACGAATTATTTGATGAGGAAAACCAAAATACAAATATTCATTTAAGGCTATGGTTCTTCTAATGTGCTTCAGAGCCTCCTCCAATATTCAGTCCTTACAATTACAGACTTGAAATGTTCGTGTCCACTTTCCACTATGGTCAGATATGTGGAAGAAATAGTCGTAAATATGCATAGTTAGAACAATTAAAACTCAGCACATTGAATTTCGTGGTTTCCTAGTTTTGAAGCACATGTGTATGGAAATGAATAGGGTAATGTCATAAGGGTCTGATACTCGTAAGAAGGAATGAGTAAGAAAATATACGGGTCCTGTTGATGTGCTGTGACAAGCCTCTTCCCAAATAAGCCCTTGTGAATACATACCAAGCTTGGCTTTTTCCTATCATCACGATCATAATCTTTTACAGTGGTAACCCTTCTTCATTATTTCCTAGTATTCATTTCTAAACTAAAATGCAATATATGACATATAAACAGAAGCCAGTTGCATCAATTTTTATAAAGTGTATCTTATCATTATTGGAGATAATAGTAATTTGACAGGTAAATTGCAGACAAGGTTAAAAGTTTGTGGCCTTGTTCAGATGCAGGTCTGCAAAAAACATTATGCTCATTACCAGATGCTTTAACAGTATCAACATCAAAAAAATGTTAACCACTTTACGACAATTTTCTCTGAATTATTCCATCGATTAACATACCTGAGTAATAGTTGAAGGATCAGAGGAGATATCAATATAGCTCTTAACGCACTCAGTAATCTGCCATGAGAAACAAATATATTAATAAGCGAGGTATGAAAATCATCTTTGTCATTTACTTAACCCCGTAGGCACAGTTGAACCAGTTCTATACCAGTTTTTAAAAATATGTTTGAAAAGCTAGGATGAAGTACCAATGACTACTTCTCTGAATTGTGACTTCTCCAGTGAGTTGAAGGCCTCATTGTTACTGTTCCGGTATTTATAATATAAAGATATAATTTTATTTTATCTTTTTATTAATTTCAATCATTTTCACATACAAAACCTTGAAGAAATCATTAAATAGTTTTTAAAATATCAAATAACAATCTTATGAATATGTTCGTATGCACAAAGAAATAAAGTTCAATACATAAATGTTCTTTGCTGTTAATAGGGAGTTTGCACATAATAAATAAAGATAATATAAACTTGATTCGAAATACTATATTTTAAAAATTATGGAATATATATTTTAAGAATTATGGAATATAAATGTAAACATTCTACTTGATGCGGACATCATTGAGATCATTGATGCCTCCAGGGTAGGAATAGGTGGAGTCCTTAGTCAGGAACGGCACCCTGTCGCTTACTTCAGTGAGAAGTTAAATGATGTCAAACAACGGTACTCGACTTAAGATAAGGAAGTGTATGCAGTTGTACAAACTTTGCGTTATTGGCATCATTATTTATTGCCCCAAAAGTTTGTTCTTTATTCGGATCATGAGGCCCTCCGTCATCTCACTGCCCAGAAAATGTTGAATTTTGGGCATGGTCGCTGGATTGAATATTTGTAGACCTATTCTTTTGTTTTAAAACATAAGAAGGGTGTTGAGAACCAAGTGGCTGATGCATTAAGTGGTCATATTTCCCTTTTGTCAGTTATGAACGTCAAGGCCATACGTTTACGTTTTGAACGACTTAAGGAAGATTACGAGACAAGTCTCTATTTTAAGGATATCTTCCTTGATTTGCAAGGAGGACGGTCGGATACGGCGGATGATTTTCGCCTTGAGGAGGGTTACCTTTATCGAGCCAATAAATTGTGCATCCCTCAAACTTCAATTAGTATGGGAAATTCATGCGGGGAGCTTAGCCAGTCACTTTGGGCATGATAAAACCATAGAGGAGGTCGAACGTCAATTCTATTCGCCTAGTTTGAAGAAAGATGTAGCTAAAATAGTTAGTACATGTAACGCTTGTCAGTTTGCCAAGCAGAAGAGGCAAAATACTGGTTTGTACACACCTGTCAGTATAGATTTTGTGCTAGGACTTCCACGTACCCGAAGAAGCATGATTCTATTTTTGTGGTAGTCGATCGTTTCTGAAAATGACTTATTTTATCCCTTGTAGTAAAACCTTCGATGCGTCCAAGGTTACCACGTTATACTTTAATGAAATTGTCAAATTATATGGGCTTCCTAAAACCATTGTGTTAGATAGGGATGTTCGGTTCACTAGTTACTTTAGAAGAACGTTGTGGTACAAGGTTGGTACAAAATTGAAATTTTCTACTGCCTATCTTACCCCGTAGACTGACGGTCAAACGAAAGTGGTTAACCATAGTCTTGGTAATTTATTAAGATGTCTGGTCCAAGAAAATCTTAGAAATTGGGATTTAATTCTTCCTACAGCTCAAATTACATATAACAGTTCTATGAACCAGTCGTTAGGTATGAGTCCATTTGAGATTGTTCATGATTTTAAGCCTAGGAAGCCTTTAGATCTCATTCCGATGTCCCCACATGCTAAAGTGTCTATGTCAGCTGAAG